TATGAAATCTTATAACTTACCAAACGGATCCTCAATTTCAGAACCTATTCACATGAAGCATTACGTCAGAACTCATACATGACAAAGATAGAAGACAATATTTAATTTACTTACCGATTGCTTCAACACCAAAAAGAATAAAGGCGATTACAAAGATAACTGGAATAGTTAACCATCCAAGTATATCGACAAGAGTGAATGGAAGTAACCAAACGTACCTATCATTAAACAAAAAGCGCAACAATTAGTATCGTAAAAAAGATTTGAGCTTATATAAAAAGGATGATAACTTACAAAGTCACAGCTTGCTTCCTAAATAATGAATAATAAAGATATTAATTAAAGTGATGAAATTACATTCATAGAAAATCAACATTACTTACAAATGAACTCTGTAAGCTAAGGGAATGGGTGTGTTACTAATCCTTTCAAGACTGCCTAAAATATCTATCAATTGATCCAAGATTGACCAAAGCCTATAGGACTCGATTTTTTTTTCACGTGCCAATTGTTCGAAATATACACCCAGATGAAACACAATTTCCTATAATTAATGAAGATCAATGATATAAACAAAATCGAAAAAAAGCAAATAATAATAATAATCTTATTTTTGAAAGTCACCATTGGAAGGCTCATTTTCGGATCTTGGGTTCCCCAAGCCAACACATCAGTATCATATTCACTTCTAGTACCACTTCTAAGCGAACTAAAAGTATCTCTAAAACGAAAGCTATCTTTTAAATATGCCACCGGGTCTTGGTTTCGGGACTTTGGAAGAAGATTAGTAGACTCGTTAGGTTCTTGAGTGAGTACGGTGATATCAGCGGAAGTTTGATTAGCAAGATTATCAGGATGATGCGGATCCTCATGACTTCCACTGCCTAGCTCTACATTCTCTTGGCCAGCATTACCCTCAAACTTTGTACGTTGAAAACCTTTCGATAACGAAGGTAACAGACCCTCATAATCTTTATAATTAGTGCCAAATTCCAAACGGAGATGATGCTTAGTGGCAACAACAAATGCCAACACAAGTTTAATGTATGTTATTTTTTCTTCACGATCTTTCTTTGTATGTTCTCCAGTACCGATCCAAATAGTTCGCGTGCTATTTCTTGCAAGAGTACTATGATATATATTGTAATCAAGTGCAATTTCACAATATATAAAATTTTTTTTATCCATATTTATATGATAATAGGTTTTTGAATTATTTGCACGTACCATAAACTGCCAAATAATTTTCTACCTTCATAATATCTATCATAAGCATGGTTTGTACGAAAAGCCAAAAGAAGACCGACCACAACGGTAACAGTACCGACTAAATTAATATCAAGTAGATATACGTAGTAAATATACCTTTTCCTAATTTATTTGTGAAGGAAAGGATATAAGTACTTACCCAAGGCCCCCGGTAAAGTTACGTTAATATTGTAGATAATGAATAATGCACAGATTCCGGAAGTGAATAGAGTCGAAAGAGTAAGGATTGGAATAATGGATAAAAATACCTGAATTAATATATATGTTAGTTTATTGAAATTAGTAATATATAGACTTAGAACTATAGAATTAATACTTACAGAACTTTTACAATGCAAAATATCTGAAAAAACATAAATTCGGTTAAATAGAAAGTAATCAATTTATCAAAAATTTTCTAATTAAATCTAAAGAGAGAGAGAAAAAAAAAAGCTACCTGGTTTCCCCCATCCACGTTGATAAGTTACTCTTTGCCACAATGACGGGTTATGAGGGGGGTCTTTTGAATCTGTCATGATGAATTGATTCTGCAGAATTCGCAGTTGAAATGTATGTACGTACGTACGTACTGTACAGCGTCTTTCCTTCGTTTTATATAAAATCAACTAATAGATACACAAAACCAAATCTGTGCATTCTAATAATTTGACTATAATGCGCAACATAACAAAAATTTGGACAAGAAAGTTTTCAATTATTTGTGAAACATCATAATAACCAGAGATACGTATAGAGATATCGATATTCCTAATTAACCCGGCAGAAAGAAAAAATTAGAAACAAATAAGAAAATTAATCTTTAAGCCGGCTTTGAGGCACTAATTAAAAATGATGAAAATCCTACCCATAATAAATGATAATTTATCCCTATAGCCTCTATCTCTAAAGCACGAAACTCTGCATTGATATCAACCCCACCAAATCGATAACCTGTTCTAATTAACGTTAATGCAACACTATATCGATATATAGTTAACCAACCCTTGATATAGAAATATCATATCGGGTACATCTATTTTACCCAACACCACGTGATAATTGACCAATCAAATTGAGAAATTTGATCATCTAGACAAAAGTGAAAAAAGGTGAAATAATATCGATATAAAAAATGGCAGTCTAAACTTATCTTTGAGCACTAATAAAAAGTGTCGGAGAGGCAATTTTACATCAAGGGGTTAATTTATTCTAACCTATTCACCTATTCTTACCTTAACCCGTGCCTAACATGTTTGTTGGGTATTTAGATGTATCCATCTCATATCGCTATCGATGGCTAATGTTTATTTAAATGATTTTACAGTATTTGGAAACATTGGTTCCCAAAATATTATGTAACACCTGCATAGAATTGTGAATCCATCAAAAAAAAGGATGTGTGAAAAAAAAAGGATATGTCGCAATTTGATCATATGTAGATTTCGAGAAGAGATAATTGTGACTTCTCTTATTAAAGATAGTCAGATCTATAATCTTGTTTTCTTACGACTATAAATGGATTTACGGCACCGAGCTTAAATCTATTTAACGTTAGTAGGGGTCTGCTTTTTAATCTACATACTGCATAACTTATATTATTATATAAAATAGTAACCATAATTGCATCAATCAAGGGGACGTCTAAAGCCGTGTCCAGTCACGTGTTTTTAGTTTTTAATTAAAGGGTTAGTTTGGGGTTAGGGTCAGGGCATGTCTTATAGTAAAATTGTCTTCCCGACATTTTTTATTAATGCACCA